GTACAGTCATATTATAATTTGGGATTTTTTGTTAAGGTTACTAAAGACACAAATCTGAGAAGAAAGGCTTGATCATTACAATAAAATAATTTAAAGAAAAGTATATAAATAGAATCTGAGGATAAGAGTTATATGAATTAGATTTTTGTTATTTTCTAATTCCTCCTTGGACTGTTTACCTCTTGTGATATTGCAATTTATAAGAAATATAACTTAGCATCCAGATGACCAAAATCTATTCCTCATATATATGTGTTCATTGTCCACAGTTCCTGGCTCGAGACTCCTTGGAATTTCCTGAGTGATAAGAGCAATGGGAGCATCCTTTGTTACCATATTTGATCCTCTTGGCCTCAGTTCCTGAAATTACTTCAGAGCTGCTGAGGTGAAATGGGCATCTTAATATCCATAACAAGCCCTTTTCCACCACGACTGGGTGTGTGTCAGTGAGGTGACTTCTGGAAGGCATGTAGGATGGGGCTGGGTGCCAGGGAAACCAACCATCCATCTCACCCCAGCCTCCTGATTCCCAGGGAGGGCAGAAGGCTTGGAGGTTGAACCAATCACCAATGATCAATGATTTATTCGATCATGCCTATGTAATGAAGCCTGCATAAAAACTTAAAAGGAGGGGTCCCAGAGAGATTCCATGTGCCACGATGCCAGGCCCCAAACGCTGCAAGGATAGGAGCTCTTTTGTTCAGGGCCTCACCCTATGTATTACTTTGTCTGGCTATTGATTCATATCCTTCAATATCCATTGTAATGAATCAGTAATCTAGCAAGTAAACAGGTTTTTCTGAGTTCCATGAGCTGCTCTAGCAAATTAATGGAACCCAAGGAGGGGGTTGTGGGAACCTCTGATTTATGGCCAGTTAGAAGTACAGGTAACAGCCTGGACTTGACTATGGCATCCCAAGTTGGACAGGAGTCGTTGTAACCTCCCCATCTGTAGCCATAGGTCAGAAGCACAGGTAACTGAGCCTTTTACTTGTGGGATCTGATGCTATCTCTGGACAGACACTGTCAGAACTGAACTGTTGAACACCCTGCTGGTGTCTTTCACTCTTTCTGCTCTCCTGGGAACGTTTCTGAGGTGTTTGGGTGAAACCAATCCAGGGAGACCAATGCAGCAGACTTGCCGTATTCTTTAACACAGAGCTGGGGCGCCTGGGTGGCTCAGTCGGTTAAGCATCTGACTTTGGCTCAGGTCATGATCTCACAGTTTGTGGGTTCGGACCCCGCATCGGGCTCTGTGCTGACAGCTAGCTCAGAGCCTGGAGCCTGTCTCAGATTCTGTACCTCCCTTTCTCTCTGACCCTCCCCTGCTCACACACACACACACACACACACACACACACACACACACTCTCTCTCTCTCTCTCTCTCTCTCTCAGAAACAAATAAAACATTAAAAAAATAAATAACACAGAGCTAATGAGCTTCCTCCATTTTTAGGTAATGTATCAGCACGGAGAACTTACTACAAGCCAGGCTCTCTGTAAATATTTTAGATATGGAGCCTTGCTTAATCCCAGCGGCACCACAGAGATAAGTATGATCTCCCCTTTTACAAATGAGGGGATCACAACACTGAGACAGCTCTTTTCAACAGAACATGCTGGTGAAGCCAGATGGAATTCAGTCTGCTTAACCGGAAGTTTGTACATATAAACAATTCACTGCATAATGGTAGCTGTCCAAATTTAAATAAATATAATAAGTTTTTGGATTTTGACAATGTCATTAGAAACCTGTTAACACAGAAACTTATTTTCTTTTTTTAAAAAAGTCTATTTTGAGAAAGAGTGCGAGCATGAGCAGGGGAGGGGCAGAGAGAGGGAGGGAGAGGCAGAATCCTAAGCAGGTTGTGCACCATCAGCATGGAGCCCAACACAAGGCTCAATCCCACAAACCACGATATCATGACCTGAGCTGAAATCAGTCGGATGCTCAACTGACTGAGCCACCAGGGCACCCCTAGAAACTGTTTCCTAGCATGTAAATCTCTATGGGAACTGATGAGCCTCTCACACACCTCAGTTAAATTCTTTGTGTGATCTGGACAGCTTAAAAGTGGCTTCAACTTTGGGGATTAAAGTTTTCAAAATTTTATCATTGTCATTATTTCATTTCATAACCCTCTTTCCATTCTCTTTTTTAGCAAGAATCATGTAAAGACCTGATGAAAGTTTTATCTTATTGAAAGATTAAAAAATTTTTTTTGTACTTAAAAGTGTAGACAGCAATTTCTGTGAAGAATTAAAACTTAAAAATGGAAAACTTTGTGTTTTATTAATTGTGAATTAGAGGTACCTGGGTGGCTCAATTGGTTAAGTATCCAACTTCAGCTCAGGTCATGATCTCACACCCTGGGAGTTCGAGCCCCACATCAGGCTCTGTGCTGACAGCTCAGAGCCTGGAGCCTGCTTCAGATTCTTTGTCTCCCTCTCTCTTTGCCCCTCTCCTGCTCGTACTCCACCTCTCTCTCTCTAAAAAAATAAATTAACATTAAAAAATAATTGTGAATTAGTTATGAAATCATTTCTAAAGGAGCTTAATATAGAAGAAGTAAGACTTTTATACTTGTCTGAGGCCCTCCATGAATTTAGTGCCAACCCTACAGGATGCCAGCAGGGAAGTCTTCTGCTAATCTCACTATATTAGCTGGCAATTTAAGAATCCAGCCCCATTAGGTCTTTGGGATTTTTGTACTAATGACCATCTTATAGTTACCATTATTGAGTGACTCCCACAACTCAGGCACTGGCCCAATTCTTTACTTTTTGATCTCATGGAATCCTTCCCACACTCAGAAGTAGCTGTCATCATCATTTTACAGATGAAGAAACTGGGACCCACTAGTAATAGATCACACATGTAATGAGCATTTGTATATTTTACTGTGTCACCTTGCTGTTGTGACCTCATTCAATACTACAATCCTGTGTGTATTTATTTTACAGATGAAGAAATTGAGACTCAAAGAGTTTGTTACCTTGCCCACAATCAGAAAGCCAATGCACAGTGAAGCCAAAATTCTTCAGGCCCTTGCTCCTGGAAAAGGAGGGAGTGAGGACAGTGGCCACCATATAATGCCAAGTGTGAATTTCCCACCCAGGCAAGATGGCGGGCTGAGGTATGTCATGACAGCCATCTTCACAATGCTCCAAAGTTGTCCCAGGGAAAAGGACGTTGATCTCTTCAAGGTGGCCCCAAGAGGGCAGGGCTGGCATCCCAAGGCCTGACTTCCCTCTTCTTGATGGAAGAATTTTAACTCAATAGCTGCCAAGGAGTGGTTTCAGAAAGAAGTGGGCTCCTTTCCACTGACATGTGGTTCTCCACTCTTAACCTGCTCACTGACCACCCAGGGAGTTTGTTTTTACAAAACAGATACTCAAGACCTTTTTTCTGGGTATTCTCAGTAAGTGAGAAGCAGGACCCTGGATGAACCTGGCCCAGGATGTCTAGAACAATACTGGTAAATACTGAAGAGGCAACATGGGGCAACCCTACCATTAAAGAGGGGATTCCTGAATTACAGGGAAGGTTGGGCTGGATGATCCCTAAGTTACCTTCAGAGTCACTGAAACCATAACCATAAAAATAATGCTGAGCTGCTAGGAATGCAATAGGATTGGCTGGAAACTTCGTGAGTTAACTGCTCTCCTTGATAAAAATAGCCCTATCGCCATCTGGTGGAATGCCTAAAAAGTCTTTATTTGCACTCCTTTATCCTAAAACCATAGCATCTTTTTTTTTTTTTTAATTCTGATGCCCTCCACTTTACAGATCAGGAATCAGACTCTAAAAGGCTAGGTAGCACTCACAGAGACTATGCCCCACATCCAGCCAGCAATTCCCAGGGCACCGCTTCCCATAGGCTTGAATTGCACAAGACTGATCCTATGCTTATCAATCACAAAATGTTCCAAGTCTTTCCTCAAGCAGGCAGTTAGGAGAAGGTTTAAGTTCTAGATAGCTGTTACAGTGCAACAAAGTTCTTAGATACTTTAGTACTACATTTCTCAGAGGACAGGGCACTGCGTTAACAAGGCAGAATTCTTGGCTCTCTCTCAGGTGCAGTTATAGACTGACAAGTGGACCGTGGATGCTTCACGGCACCTCACAGGTATGCATCCGACTAGCAAAACCTAAATCATGTCTGAATCTCTGGCCACAGTTTGAGGGAAATGTAGTGTTCACGTTTAATGTAAGTTCTCGCTTTTCAGCCTCTGCCACCCAGGAAGGCATCTTAGGGGATAAGAAAAGCAAAGCAAAAGTTGGGATAGACGCTGAGCAAACCAATCAAAATCTTATCACATATATCTATCCCCCTTGACCCATTTTTCCCCGAACCCTCCTCTCTTACCTCTATGCTACAGTCATATTCCCAGAAAGAGTTGTCTTTTCTGTCTCCACTTGTCGCCTCCCACTCATTCCTTAACTCACACAATTGCATCCCTCTCATATCACATCTCTGCACAGGACCTTCCAATCCCCCTGTTTTGTCTTCCCCTCACCTCCCAGCCCCCTTCCACTCCTGTGTGGTGCCTGCCAAATTCCGCATTTAGCGCCTCACTGCCCCCAGTCTGTGTACTCTGCCTGGGTGGTCCTGTCCACTTGTGTGGTATATCCACCGCAATGTGCCGAGATACTCCCCCAAAGCTTAACTCCAGCCATAAAATCTTTCCCAAAGGACAGACCCAGGATTCCAGTTGCATCCTGAACATGTCCGACTGAAGCACAAACTCAACGTGTCTAATCTGAAACCCATCACTTACATACAAAGCTGGTTCTTCCCCCTGCATCCTATGTCTATGTAAACTGCACAACTACCCACTTGCTAAAGCTAGAACCCTGGAAGTTGAGTGGATTCTCCTCTTTCCCTTTTCAGTTCTTACATTCAAATGGTCTCTACGGCCCATAAATTCAGTGGAGCCCTTTTACCTGAGTTCCTGAGTTTAACAAGTGCTATCTAAAGAAAGACCAAAGACACGCTCATTCTAGCACTTTATTGGAAATTGGTTGTGTACATCAATGAAATCAGACCAAAGTAAAAGCATTACTTCCACACAATATTCTGATGTCTGTGCTATTACATAATTTAATAAATCCCAAGATGTTCCTGATCTTGGTCAAAGAGCTTGAGCGGTCCAGAAATCTTTCTACATAAATATAGATTATAGCATCTAAAATAACCCTCGTTGTTTTAAGTTAGTTACAAAAGTCCCAGGAACATCTCTTAAAATCTACAGCTTAGATTGGCTGCAGTGCTGGTGGGAGGGAAGGAAGGATGTGCACTTTATACCACGGAGCTGATGATAGCAGGTGCTGGGGTGGGGGGGACGGTCCTCAAGTGTGGGCCACATGAGGAGGTGGGGGCTGGAAATCGTGAAAGCTGGTCGGAGGACTCAGCCACCCTGTGTCTTCCCACATTGCTCAACTATCAAAGCGATGAGACTCCAATGCAGAAAGAAGCCCGTCACCCCAGGTCCCTTGGTGTTACCAAGAAATGGCAGAGCCCTTCTCCTGATTGTAGACATTCTGGCACAGAGGTCCTGGGAAGTTCGACCCATCTCCCTCCCCTTGCCATGCTCAATTCCCTCCAAGTTACATGACTCGAGGGAGGGGCACTGCAAAGAAAATGCTCTGAGCCAAGTGCTGCTGGCCCCTTGCGATGAGGATAGGGTGCCTTTGCTTGGTTTGACCTGAGGGGCACTGGCAAAGGCTGCTCTTTCCCCAGTATCTCCCTCACCACCTTGAAGGCCACCATCAGTAATTAGGTTGTTTGGTTCTTCAAAGCTTCTCAGCATTCAGCAGCAACACCTGTATATCCGCAGTGGCTTTGCTGCTCACAACCACAAACAGCTTTCACCCCCACCGAGTCATTGGTTCTTACAACCCCATGAGGTAGGAAGGGCAGGGATCATGATCCCCATTTAAAGGGAACCCGGAACCCACAGGTCCCTTGACTGAACTCACAGAGCTGGCCAGTGGCAAAATCCAAACAAGAACTCAGATCTCCTCTCACATATCAAGCTCCGGAGTCCACACAGCAAAGCCTGTCCATCGCTTTTCTGAGAAGGAAGAGGCTGGGGGAGGGGGCACTGCCCACATCCCTCACTGCCCCTCTTGGGAGATTCTCAGACAGCCCCATTGAGGACAGGATGAGTCCGCATGCGATAGATAATGACCGCAGTGGCCGGGCACAGCAACAAGGAGGTCATGATGACAATGGTGGCCAGGATGATAAGGACAATGACCCAGATATCCAGGATGTGCTTGGGGAGCACAGCCTCCATGGGGACCTGACTGACGGCATCCATGCTGCTTCACTCTGCAACAGACAGGAAAGAGGAAATCACTATTTTGTACCCTCCCCAGGAGTCAGAAGCTTGGGTCACTTACCAGCTGTGTGCTCATTAAGGTAATCTGATCAATAATAATAATAATAATAGTGGCCTCATTTACCAAGTGCTTCCTCTGTGCCAGGCTCAGCGCTGGGCATTTTATGTGTATTAACTGAGTCCTCCCTTCAACCACAAACTCCATGTGATGGGGACTATTACTGTGGTCTTTTATTTCTTGGACTTTATCACCAGTTATTTCCATTTTACAGATGACAATTCTAAAGCCTTTACAGATGTAAATATAGTTAATTTGCCCAAGGAAGTGAAACTAGATGGGTGGGACTCCAGAACCATGTTTAACTGATAAACTGTCACACCACCAGTCTGTCCCATTTGTTAAAATGCCTTCTCCTGTTCTCCTGTTAAGGAAACCTGATCTTTTCTGTGAGAACCTACCTATTCAGTGTGGTTTAGTTAGGGTGCTCCCCTGAGCACAGGGGCAGACACGTGATCTAGGTTTGGCCATCACAAATCATAGCCTCAACTCAGGGATGGCCCAGGCCAGGTCAGCCAAAGTCCTCCTAGGGCTTTTGTGCACAAGCTATTGGGAAAGATGATTCTTTCTGCTGGGGATTGCTAAACCAAAAGGATGTGAGTCTGGAAAGGAAAGAGGGGGGCTGTGTCACCCACATGTAGAGAGCCTGTCTTAGAGATGGAAGGAGAAATGAGGCCCTCAGGACCTGAACCCAGCGCACTCAGATGCCCTCTGCAACCCCGGACACACACCACACACCACACACCACACACACATACACACACACACACACACACACACACCCCAAAAGCGAATAATTCCCTGCTTTAAACCGGAGTCAGTTTGGCTTCTCTCGCTTACAGCTAAAAGTGTTCTGATGGACAGGATGTAAATCAGTTGTTCCCAAAACTTTTTCAACTCCCAGCACCCTTAAGTAATTTTTTCACAGTTCTCCAGGCCAAAAGAAGTACCTAGCAGTCCCATTTAGTACATAGTCAGGTCCAAACACCTTAGTAATAAGCATTTATATCCTAACAAATTAGTAGCTGTTTGAAAAACACTGTACACACAAATGGAAAGGAAAAAATAGTTTTATTTCATTCTTAGCCAGCTACTTATTCATGGGAGGTGGGCAGTGGTTAGGCGCTGCACAACATTTCAGACTCTGGAGCCAGAGTCCACAATGCCATGTCCCATTCCACATTCAGGTGTGAGCGGTACTTGCTGCATCATGGCAACGGTCAAAAACTGCTTCACAAAATACAACATTGCCGAAGGGAATGCAGTAAGGTTAACGTTAAATGAGACACTATCTTGAGCTGGTCGTTTGCACAGCGTCTGAGAGGTGTCAAATATCAACATGCCTGTCTAGAATCTTAAAGACCCTGCAGCCCCCGTGCATATACCTTTCCGGAGAGTTCATTGTGGCTCCCCAAGGCTCAGCATCCAACTTGGGAACCATAGATGTCACGCAGTCCCTGCCCAGATGGCCCAGGCTGGGACAAACGCTCTCCTATGGTTCCTTCTAGATCTGAGATCTATCATTTCTGTGATTCTAGGTCCCAGGCAAAATTTCCACTTCCAGTCCAAGTTCCTGCTTTCTCCTAATCAATAACTTTTCCTTTCTAAGGCCTTTGGCTCCGTGCCCACTATTGCCCCTCTAAGAAGGGTACTGATTGCCATACCCAAGGCAGAGTCCCCAAGATATACACACAAGGACGTTCACTTCTGCATTGTTTGTTAAGGCAACTAATGCAACAAGTGTCCAGAAACAGTAAAATAGAATATATCCATATAGTAGAATACCACACAGCGGTTTTCATTCAGTCATCTAACAAACATGTAGGGCTTGCAACTCACCAAGCATTGTTCCGAGTGTGTTACAAATATTAACTTATTTAATAGTTATTATTAAAAAGAATGATGATCTATGGTGAGTTCTGACTATTTTAAGTAGAAAAAAAAAAGTAAAGTGCAGAATAATGTGTATAGGATTATTCCTCTGGCTCGGATTTTGTAGCATTGAGTAGATGGACAGGTGGTGATACATAAATGTAAAACCATTTACGAGCAGAATCCAAAGAAAGTGTTAATAGTGATTACCAGGGGGCTGGACCAGGAGTGGGAGAAGCTTTTGCTTTTCATTCTTCAAGTTTTCAGGCTGTTTGAATATTCTCAATATGAGCATGTCTTACATTTGATTTTCTTAAGTCCACTGGATTGAGAGGGAAATGGACTTTTTTCTTTATAGTTCTCTGTATTAAAATTTTTCAAGTCCAATGAAATTCAAGCAGGAGCCTAGATCAGTGGTTACCAAGTGCCCAATACCAAGCTAAGTGAGAATCACCTTAGGACGGTATAAAAAAACACTAATTTCTGGCTCCCATTACAGACTTACTGAATTAGACTCAAGAGAGGACAGGCGGGGCCCTTTTTTCCCAATATGCACCCAGGTTTGGGAACCCTGAACCCACCGATCTCTAAGGCTGTTCCGATGCTCTCCAGTACCAGACCTGGGTAAGGTCTGGGATGAAGGAGAAGCCTCTGGCAAGGCTCCCTCAGGACATCAGGATTATCAGGCTGGGGCCTGCCAAGGAGGGAGAGGCACAGGCTGGCCCTGCCTCAGCCTTGGAAATGTGGTTACTTTCTCCCAAGTCCAAGGCACAGAAGCATGAATCACAGGAGACACACACTGTTAAGGAGGGATGGAGGCGGCAGAAATCATTCTTTGTGGTATCTTGATTACATCAACAGCTAGCTTGCCCTGAGCCAAAGGAACCCCATGAAAGCCCTTTCTCGTAAACCCATTAACATCAAACAGTTTCTGTGACTCCAAATGCCAGGAATAATCTCCCTGGCTGTTTCTCATAAGGGAAAACTGTCATTTACAGGAATCCAGGCTTCAGGGCTCATTCACAACTACGAATCATGGAAGCTACAGCCAGCAGTATTTCACGGATGGCAAAACTGAGGTCCATGGATCTTTCCCCACCTTCAACCCCATACTCTTCCAGAATAATCTCATTCAAAGACATAAATCGGATCAAGTCACTGCCTAACCAACACAAAAAACAGGAGAGAACAAGTAGATGAACGAATGAAACTTTTTCTGTAACCTGTACTCAAGACTGTACCAATATTACTCTTTCACACATGATATGATTTAAATCCTGATTACAAAAACAGATAAAAGCAGAGCTGCTCTAGAATGCCAAGGAGGGACTAGACCAGGGTTTTGGGGTCCCACCCAGCCCATGAGGCTGGATAAATATCCTTAGAGACCCTAAGCACTAGAGATTAGAGTGCCCATCCCCTTCATACATACAACTCAAATTAAAAGCAATACTAAAGCATACACATAAAACTCATTTTCCCAGCTACTTTTTTGGTATCCCTGTTTAGCACTGTGTGTTCACTTGCTACAGCACAGCTGTTCAGCATTCCCTTGACCCTTTGGGCTCCTCAAAACACAATCTGGAAACCACAGGTTGTGATATTCTCCAAGGGCCCTCCCAGAGCTGCTTGTTCCAGGGCTCTAAGGCTGGCCATGAACTTGGCTAGGTGTCAGAGGACACAGGGAACTCTCCTTCCCTGTTTCAAGCTTCCTGGTCTTCAAACATGTATCCCCGATGGGCTGTTCCTTCCCATGGAACAGGGCTTTGGGTTGCTTCTACCTCTCCCCACTGCGAAAGAAAAACTTTGTCCCGCAAATAAGAAATATGCAAACCATATGTTCAGCATCTTTAATGGCACGCTGGAAGAATTGGCTTGAGAAAAAGCAGGGCTCCAAGCTTCTGCTAGCTGACTTCTGTTTGACCTTTATCTGGCATCCGGGTGCATGGCTCCTTGTGAGTGTATAAAACCCTGTTTCTTGGTATGTCTAATTAATAACCGCAGATCAATCTGCTTATCATTTACTTTGAAGATATACTATTTGTTGTTTCTTATTAATGAGTTATATCAGACTGTGGCCCAAACCATTCATGTCACAAATTTAACCTTATCACAGATAAAAATGTGATGCTTTTATGCCCATGGGAAGTAAAACAGCAGTTAAGCCTACACTCCTGTCATTTTAAATTGGCATACTTTATCTGCTATTTACCTCATTAAATGAATAAATAAACATTGACATATGTTCAGTAGAAGTTTGTCTAAGAAACTGCATTAACACCACCCGGAGCTGACAAGCCAAGAAGTCACTCATATCCCCAGCCACTGATGCCACCCGGGCCCTACCCCACCAGCCCAGTGAGAGGCCAGTTTGCACAAGGCAACTGAAAATCTTTTGGGAAAGAGAAAAAACAAAGAATCATTGTTCCAGTCAATTCCATCATATGGCAAATTTTCTAGTTCCAACAAAACATCTATAAGTTTCCTAAATCAAAATCTGCAAGTCCATAGTTTTAGAACAACTAAATTCAAGGTGACTAATCTGTGCTTTATCTATCCACTTTTCAATCATGAGACTCACTCCCCAGCAAGTGGTTCTCACCTCTCTATTGCTCTCAAGGCAATATTGGTTTGGGTTGAGCACCATCAAGACAAGTAACTGTCCAGGATGTTCATTCATTCATTCACTCACTTATTCATTCATTGTGTACTTCTATATACAAGATATTCTCTTAGGAATCACTGTTATTTACTCAGAAGACAAAATTTACTTCCAAGAAGCACAGAGAAGTTCAGTACCTTTCCTCTTATTTCCTCAAATACAGGATCACACAAGCCAGCATTTGTTTAACAAATACAACTGCTAAGTACTGTGTGGGGACTTGTCCCACACATTAACTTATTTAACCTTCACAATGATCCTGTGCGGGATATGCTATTTTACAGATGAGGAAACGAAAGCCAAGAGAGGTTAACTGGCTAGTGATTCATAAAGAAAAGTAAATGGGATTCAATCTCGGGCTTCCTGACTCTGTATTCACCTCCAAAGCCGCCACTTGG